CAACACCCTTCAAATGGGTAGTTCTCCTGATTTCCTCAGAAGTTTTTGGAGGAAGAACCCCGGAAGAACCTCGACAGAGCAGCAAGACCGGGGGGAACATGCAGATCTCCCCCCGGGAAATAGCCAATTAGCGGAAGTCCAAACCCCCTGTCACAAGCGTCTTACTTCCCGAGGACCGATGGGCCACGAGGTTTCTGCGCGGGTTGAAGCAGCATCCAGAGAAGAGGGACAGCAGGGCGCGGAGAGGGGGCGAGGTGTGGAACGAGTGACCCCCCCGTACCGGAGGAGAGGGTCCGGGACTGGTCCTCCCATCGCCGGAGAGCGACGCAGGACGGGACCGGAAGAGGACGCCGCGCGTTGCTCTGGCGGAGAGAACCCGGAGGGAGTTCGGCTCGAGACGTCCCGCGGGTGTGCAGCAGAACCGGAAGCTGCGCGTCCGATATGCGCACAGAGAGAAGCTCCTCAAAACACCGAGAACCATCATAGAACCTCCTGTGAAAGTCTTTAAGAACTAGAGACACACACAGGGCGGCGTGTTCTGGGTCATCGTGTTAGTGCACAATTATTACTAATATTAAAATAACCTCCAACATCCGGAAGTGTCCCCTGCGATCCAAAGGCATCGCTAGCCGTGGAAGCTAACTACAATTAGCCCATTTCCGCTGTCCGCCGCCGTAAACCTGAGATGAACGTTTATTTCACAGGATCTTAACACGTCGTTAGAACACATTTAGTTCCCCGTGACACGCGTCCTCTGAACTTTAGACGCCTGCGCTGTCGCGGTTTGGGTAGTTGGTCGCTTTCGCTTCCCAAACGATTCCCCCTAGAAACAAGTTCCCGACGAAGGTTCCGGTGCAGTTGGACAAAACAACCACGTGTCACCATCTCGTTTGATACAAACAATAAAGCGTCCCGATAAAGTTGTCAGTTGCGTTATTGTTTGTGCCTAAAACATTAAAAGGGGAAATGTAGATAAAAGAAATGAAGGATCAGTTTGCTGCTGTGAAGCTCTGGGGCTTCAGTGTCTTACTCAAGGACACGGAGACATGCAAACTACGGAGAGAACACGGATCAAACCGCACTGCAAAACATCACAGCCGCTGAGTTCTGTCCCCCTGCGTCTTCTCTTTAACAGTGAGTCACAAAACGTCGTTATTTCAATAAAGATTCAGCATGGACCATTTTGTTACATATTTGTTGGGACGGTGGCTCGACACCAAAGGTTTGAGGACCACTGGGTCACACGATCCGATGGGGTCACACGAGGGTCACACGATCCGATGAGGTCACACGATCCGATGGGGTCACACGAGGGTCACACGATCCGATGGGGTCACACGAGGGTCACAGGATCCGATGAGGTCACACGATCCGATGGGGTCACACGAGGGTCACACGATCCGATGGGGTCACACGAGGGTCACAGGATCCGATGAGGTCACACGATCCGATGGGGTCAAAACAAGTTTCAATAGGGACATTTCTTGATATTTGGGGTTTGAGTGTTTCAGCTACAAACTTTATTATCATAGACTTATTATACAGCTGCTTACAAAGCGAATGACATTATCATCACGGTGGGAGATTTTAAAAACAAATCAACGCATTGACCAGGAAGATCTGACCTGTAGACATTTTGGTAAAAAACAACAGTATTTGAAAGCATTGGAACCAAAATATGAAGATTACACAAACGTAACACAAGAAAAAATATAAATCTATTTCATTATACTGTTTAACCGAGAACGCAAAATACTAACAAACTCACCGCTCTTCTTTTTGGTTAAAGCGCTGAACACATCAATAAAACGTAAAAACCCTAGATGGGCGAGTTGGTAACACTGACACGTGCTTCACAATAAATAGTCGTATTCAGACGACAACACGGAGCCCAGATGCAACGCCACGCTGCTCGTGTTGTGGACTGCGCGGTCTGAAGAGCCCCCCCCCCGAGGCTTCTCCTCCTCATCCGAGTCGGCCGGTGCGCGCGCGCTCAGGGACGCGTCCTCGTCGCGCTGCAGGCCCATGAAGTGGGACAGGAAGCGCGCCTGGATCTCGGTGAGGAAGGCGTCGCCCTCCTCGTCCGGCAGCGGCTCCAGGTACCTGGCCAGCGACGACAGCATCTGAGGGGAGGAGCCGGGGGGAGAGGAAGCGTGAGAGGAGGCGATGAGGGGCGATGGAAGAGGACAGCGGGGGGGCGCGGACCTTCTCCAGGCAGGTGAGGTGCGAGTCCCTCCGGAATAATCCGTCCATCTGCACACTCCTACCGGAGGAGGAGAAAAACAATACACATATTTACCCTAAAAGGAAGTTATTGTGTCTAAACAGTCGACAAATCAAACTGAAACTCTCTGAAACCAACGAGTCTCTGAGTCAGAAGCAGCGTCTCACCCGGCGGCCTGACGGTACCGATGGATGATCCACTGAGCCCGCCTCAGGGTCTGCTCCCAGTCCGGGACGTCCTGCGAGGACAGGAAGTCGAATCGGTAGGGCAGCTCTTGAGGGGAGGAGGGGGGGCAGAGAGAGACCGGCGTGATGTCACTGAGCGATGACATCACTGATCTACATCGTCAGCTGGGTTTCAAAGCCTGTTGGTGTTCCCCTGTGTGTGTGTGTGTGTGTGTGTGTGTGTGTGTGTGTGTGTGTGTGTGCTGAACCTACTCGGTGGGCCTGACGGCTCCTGGCTCCCCCTCACCTGCAGACAGGTGGTCTGGGAGTGGGGGGAGGGGCTAGCCGGGTCGTAGGGGCTCACGATCATCCCGATGAACGGAGCTCCGCCTCGAGAGAAGTAACTCTGAAACGATGCGACCACATGATGAGCTGCATTAGGTTTTTTATTATTGATTATTTGATTTAAGCGGCTAACCCAATTTCCTTCAGATCGTCACAATAAAAGCTCCCTGGGTTTTAATTAAAGTTCTCTTAAGCCGGTTTGACGAGGGCTCGATCGATGAGGTCATGACCTCGTGTCTTTGTCAGTACAAAGAAAAGTCTTTTTTAGTATTTAGTTGTTTTGACTTTTGTATAAATTGAGGCCCAACAGAAGCAGCTTTTGATCGGATCGGTGGTCCAGCTCACACCGGCTGACCCCCTTCACCTGGAACTGGTCCTGCGTGTTGATGTCCCGGACCGACGGGTTGGGCTGGAAGGACGGGTGGGAGTGGTACCAGCCGACCACGGCGAGGCCCAGAGAGGACAGCAGGTCACGGGCCTGCGTCTGGGACACCGGGTCCATCTCACACTGCAGACCCGTACTCACACTGTTACACGGCTCGGCTGCACGGATCTGATCGCACAGAGACACAGTCAGATAAGAGGATAAAAAGAAGACATCAGATGAGGACATGTCTGTCCTCTACCTTCAGCACTCGCTTCTCTTCGTCGTAGGCTCCACCCAGCAGGCCGATGACCTCACAGCGCGACACGTGGGCGTGCTGACATCACAGCATGGATTAAACCAGGTTAGTGACACAACAGGGAATCCTGTACGGCGGACCCTCGTCATTAGGAGATCATCAATGAGCAGTAAATCCCACCATGTCCATGATGAGAAGACTCTCTGCACACACGATAACCTGGAAGGGTTCCTGCAGGAACAGCAGAGGAGCCGTTTAATCCTCCATAAAACCAAAGAAGGTTTGCTGAAGACTGAAGAGACAAACTGACCTGCACGTCCTCTCCAAAGGACCTGCAGGGGATCAGCTGGAAGGGGTCAAAGGACCTGAAAGGGGGGGGGGACAGTTACACATACGAGTACGTACGCTTATGAGCACATGAGTCCTTGGTGCTCACCCTCTGAACCGGGACACCTTGCAGGGTTTCGGGTTCCTCTTCCTCTCTTCTCGCCGCAGGGCGAGTTCCTCGGCACTCAGATGCTGAGGACACACGAGCAGAGGACACGTTCTAGTCCCCTCGCCACCAATAACCTGCTGCATGCGTCATAGTCTGTCCACACCTCGTACGTCTGTCCCTCCAGGTCTTTGGAGTCGCACCAGTTCCCCCAGGTGTCCCGCACGCGCCGCTTCCTGGTCCGCTGAAAGGAGCCGCTGGCAGTTAGCTGGAGGTGCCTTCGGAGGGGGAGGGTGGGGGGGTTCTGGGTACCTACCATGCTCTGCAGTCTCTGGGCCAGCTGGTAGGCCTCCATCACGTCCCTGCCCTCCCTGTGCTTGGACCGGTCCACGGGCCTGGGCCGGTTGTAGACGGCTTGCTCTGCCAGAGAAGAGACGCGCGCGTTGAGGACTTCTGGAGGTTGGGTTCCACGGAGCAGCGGGACGCAGCTGACTCACCGCAGTGGAAGTTGATGGCGCCGACGAGCTCCAGGTAGGTGTGGATCCTCCCGATGCAGTTCACGTCGCCGCAGTTCTTCAGCCCCGGGCGGACGGAGGTCTTGTTCAGGTACCTGGGTTTGCTCCTCAACCTGAAGAACCCCCATAAACAAGATGGTGAAACGTGTTCCTGCAGACTGGTGGCTGAAGACTTCAGAGTCTCACCACTGGTCCAGGATGTAGTTCCGGATCTTAAGATATCTCTCAGGGGTCTTGGATGGTCGTCCCTCAAAGAACTCTGGGATAGCTTGTTTCTCCTCCTCAGCAATGGTCTCCATCTCCATCTCTTTTTCCTTCTCAGGCACCTTGAGTACCAGTTCCTCCTCCTCCTCCTCCTCCACCACCTCCTCCTCCTCCGCTCCATCAGCTGGACTCTGTTCGGTCTTTTCATCAGAAGCTGTGGAGCAAAGTGGACCATGAGAGTAAAGAGGAGCATCTGCTGGAATGGGTCATGGAAGCAGAGTCTCACCTGTGTCCTCGTCCTCCGGAGGACCTTTCTGCGAGCTCTGGTCCTCATGGCCCGTCTCCTTCGAGTCTCTTTGAGCTGTGGTTTCTGGTGTTCTGGGGGGGAGGGACTCTTTGTCCCCCGGCCCGGTTGCAGCAGTCGCTGGGGACGGAGGGGGGGAGGACGAGGGCGGAGGCAGCAAGGTCGCACCCGGCTCCTCCTGGACGCCGTCAGGCGTGCCCCCCCCCCCCGGCTCCCGGAGCTCGGCCTTCACGCCCCCATCCAGGTCGTCGGTGATGTCCACCTCCTCGTCCTCCCCGTCGGAGAGCCTCTCCGTGTGGACGGCGTTGGACGGAGCGGACGCATGACCGGAGGACTGAGGGTGTAGTTGCAGCACACCGCCCGTAGGCGGCGCCGCCCCTCTGGGCTCCGATGTGGTCTGGAGGAGAAAAAGGACGAGGCGTGAATAAGGAAGGAGGGAAGGAGGGAGCACACGAGGACAAAGTCTCACCTGGTGTTTGAAGAACTGTCGGGCGTAGCTCTTCACCTGGAAGGTGGAGCGGCTGCCCACCAGCCTGGCGATCTTAGTCCACCGCCGACCGAACTGAGCCTGCAGATTGAAAACACGTTAATATGCTCAATAAGTCACATGACCACCTGGAAACAGAAGCCACGCGGCGAGCTCACCAGCCCCTCCGCAAACAACTCCTTCTCCTGGGGGGACCATCGGGTGGAGGAGGTGGAGGACGGCTTGGTCGGTAACCTGAAGGTCGGAGGAGACCAGTGAGGAGCGGGAAAACTTCGCCATAATAATAATAAAGAACGGTTTGACTTACTTTGTCACTTTGTCGCCGTCACTTTCCCAGATGTGGCCAGTAGTCCCGCCCCCTGTCAGGTAATACCTGAGCGCCGGGTTCAGGAGCACAACGTTCAATGATGAACATCATAACGGAAAACATGTCACATCAATTCGATTGTTCGGAAAGCTGGAAATATTGAATTATTTTATTATACCATTTCTCCCTGTGAGCACTTATGGTATATATATATATATATATATATATATATATATATATATATATATATATATATATAAATACACACACACCATTTATAAATATAAAAGCAATAACGTGTGATGCGTTTGAGGGTCCGTAAAAAAGGATACTCTTCCTCCAGCAGCATCGTCTCGATTGCCTCCCTGTCCTCCGAGCTGATGGTGCTGTCCAGTTGCCATGGCTACACAACACACACACACACACACACACACACACACACACACACACACACACACACACACACCACACAGGGTCATCAGCACGCACACAGAGACACAGAAAGACAGAGACACAGAAAGACAGAGACACGCACCAGTATCGCCGCGCTGCTCCACTCGGACCGGATGAGCCGCTCCGGGGACAGAACTCCTACTTCCGGCTCTCTGGAACAGAGACACGTCCCGAGAGACGCTGTCAGTCTACGGAGGACACACTGGGGACACACATAGCGCCTCTATGCTCCACAGGTTCAAACATGTGGGACTAAACCAGACCAGGACACAAGACCGGGCCAGAGTACTAGACCAGTACACAAGACTGGATAAGTAAGTCCCGCTAGTACACCAGACCAGTTCATATCAAACCAGTAACGTTAAACCAGTAACATTCTCACCGGATAATGTTCTCAAACTCGTCTCCCTCAATATCTACGTCCACTTCGTCCTCCATGTTGCTCGTGAACGTAAACAACGGACAGTGAGAACCGGAAGTGAGAACCGGAAGGAAGCAGCGCCGCGCGCACAGTGACACCTGGTGGCGGGATGACCGCATGGCCACTGCTAGTACTTCTAAAAGTAAGTCATGTACTATCCACCATTGCAACCAGCAGTTAGTACTAAAATAATATAATATGTTAATAACATGCAAAAAGCAGATTACACAGCTTCCATCCCCTGAAAACAAATACATGTTTCTTTATTAAAAGCAGTTTAATATTTATTGATGTAATATTTAGTGAAATAGGGGCTTGTGAAGTGAAATAGTTTTATTCTAGCTAGTTCTTGGTTAGAGTACTCACATTTCCAACGGCACCCGAAGGCACCGTCTCTGGTTGTACTCTTAAGGAAATGTCATATTTCTTTATCATTGATGTGCTAATATTCAAACAGACCCACCAAACCACTAAGAATAAAAAGACAGTTTAAGACAACAAAAAAAGTTTATTTAGAAATTCACAGTTTCTAATGGCACTACAGTTTCGTAGTAACTCGCTTCTCCTTAAAAACACTGTGCAGTTAATCACAGAGAGATTCACATATAAAGGTAGAAAAACAAAAGGCATGAGGAGTCATTCAAAGTGCACACTACGTCGCTGTGTTACGGGATGAGTGGAGTAGTCACACACACACACACACACACACACACGAGATAAGCTTAGCGTGTGGAACGAGCAGCACAACAATGTTCATGATCCTCCGGGTTCCCTTTATTCCACTGGAATCGACCACGAGGAGTCAAAGCGCGCCGAAAGTTGAAGAGGAGGATGAAAGAGGAAGAGCAGCATGATGAGGAAGAGGACCCAGACGAACAAGAAGCAGACGTGAAGACCCGAGTGTTTAAAGCTGTGCAGTGACTGATAAAAGAGCCGCTCAGAAACTCCTTTAAATCGCTTTAAAATGTGCGTGTGAGGCGGGTTAAACGCGGGCTGGTGATCCGACGCCAATGACCTCTGACCTCCTCCCAGCCGATGCTCCATCATCTGGTAAAAAGACGGGACACGCGATGTCACCGCTACGGAATAAACAAAGTGCAGTCCAGTGCGTCGGAGACATTTTTACAAGACGTTGTCACGGCGACGACCTGCGGGACAGTTGGGCTGGAATCATTAGTAGTTTAAATAAATAAATAGATAAATAAAAATTGGGTCTGTCAGACTCTGCTGCAGGATCCCAGAGATCTGTGTGTGTGTGTGTGTGTGTGTGTGTGTGTGTGTGTGTGTGTGTGTGTGTGTGGCAACATTCAGCGGTGAAACCCAACGTGCTCCGACAGGAAACGCCTCCGTGATGCTCGTGATAATAATAGTTCATAAACAGGGATGAGAGAAATGTAAAAAATTTAAAACAAAAGGAAGGGAGGACGTCCCTCTGGTTCGGTTCCAGGGAGGGGGGGGTTCAGGTGTGGCCAAAACTACTGGAGAGAGGTCAAAGTTCGGATTCACTAACAGGCATCACATTCACGCATGTAAAGACGCCTTCTTCATTCAGCTCTGGTGGTGTGTGTGTGTGTGTGTGTGTGTGTGTGTGTGTGTGTGTGTAGGGCGGTTAAGGGAAGGGGGGTGAAGGATGAACTTTGGGGTCCCACGACGTTTGAGG